AAAAAGCTAAGCACACCAACACCCGAACTGCATGAAAATCGTGTTCTTTTGAATTAAACTCCATTTCACCTAAGGGTTAATACTGCCGAGGACGGTGGAGTCCATATACTTTTCACGACTGACTAGATCTGCGGATTGCCTTTCGTGGCATAAAAAAGTAATGCTCCGTGCGTCGTTACAAACTAGGGTATGAGGGACAATGTCTCTGTATCTGGGTAGGCATAAGGTTTCAGAAACCTCTGCTCCAGCACTACGACTGGCTTGACCCACCTTGCTACCCTGTCGGAAAAAAAAATAAAAATTGCAGAGAATTCCCCTCCCCAGATTACTACACGGAGCCACAACTTTCCCGTGTAGCTTCCCCTCTATCGACCCCTCTGCCGGCCCTCCCCGGACCCCTTGTCCCCGACTCACCCTGTTCCAGCGGAATACAGTCCGTGCTCTGAACTCTCGATAGGGTCGAGCTAAAGCCTCGAGTGCTTTGATGTGTCTATTCTGCCTGGCGTGAGTATAGCTGCGTACGCACCATGATACTATTCAGAGTTCTCGTCACAGCCGAAAACACCACCGTGCTTTAGCGGCGTCTCTGTGCCGCGGACCACGGCCGGCACGAGCCGGCCGGCGTCTCTTGAAGTAAGGCCTGGGAAACAGATGGTCCGTGACTTGTCGGGCGCTACTACCCCCCTCAGGGTACTACGGTGATCGTCTACCTGCTCTACCCCCGGGTTCATTTCCGCCGTCTGGACTCTGGCGCTGACGCGAGGGTTCTACCACTACGAGCCCTCGGCACTTGACCAGCGCGACAAGTGTGGAGCGTCGGGACCCAGCCAATCCTGGAACCTGAGTTGCTTTTCTCTCCTGTTTTCGGTTCGATCTCCAGGCACATGGCCACCGAACTGAGCCCATCCGTGGCAACCAACGTTAGTTTGCATGCTGCGCCTCGATACAAACGCTCGGTGCCCCGTTCCAGACGTCCACGCCAGCTCATCGCATACTACGATACTCACGAGAACGACACTCACGCCGCAGAACAGACGCCGCCTCTCTTCGCCGCGGACAACGTACCTCCCAGGCCGTGGTGGTCCTCACACACCCGCCCACGCCCACCTTCACTCGGCAAAATGCACCGCCCGGCCAGTGCCTCGCATAAACTGCTCTCTATTGCTTGATAGCCCGGTGGCCAAGGTCTAGGTCTAGATAGCGGTACCTTGAACGATCACATTCGTCATTTGATGATGATTGTTTTTTTTATCATTTTTGCACATCTTCCCTTGGATTATCTGTGTAACAAAAAATGCACGAACTACTGTTGAGTTCTATAAGATAATAAGAGATTTATCACTCTTCAGGCATACTTGATGCAACTGAACCCTTTAAACCGCAAGTCAGCTCAAGATAACGTTGTACGCAGAGCACATTTATGATAATAATTATAATGATACATAATGAAAACAAACTATGTCAGTTGCCACGTATATTATAGTGCGTTCACACACGAGCACCCCCAAAATACCCCCCCAACGCACCAAAAACAACAAGAAGCAAACAACAGCATTCTACCGAATCACATACACAACAACCACGACTGCTAATATAATATCAATAGTATTTATAGTACTCTAAGTATCATAATAATAGATATATATCACTATACATCAATGCATACAAATAGCATGTAAACTGGCAAAATTCATAGCGAAACCAACATAACAAAACACGAAAAGCCAGTTTTGATAACATATAACGCCAGGAACCTTAAATACGTTGTTAGGAGACGTGTATATAATGATATATAACTATATATATAAGTAGTACTATGATACTTTATTATATATATTAATTACACGTTATATATACATTGTTTAATGATAATAGTGATTATATGTATGCATTACTCTCATAATATTATCATGCACTAATACTGAATGATACTTTGGATGTATACGATGTCTAATCATATCACAGGAACCAGAGAAATTATTGAAACATAGGATGACCAAAAGTGAGCTTTGCAGGATAAGCTACCTCTTGTAGTGCTCATGTCTGCACTGTGTATTAGCTTAAGTAGAACACATCTATACCCAATAAACTAGTGGGACACTACCCCCCTCCAGTTCCCTTTTCTATCCCACCCATTAACCTTTCTTTCTTTCCCATCCAGTCTTGAGAAGCTGAGACGTCCTTCGTATAGAGTACATACCTGGACATCTGCCGCAGAATTCAGAACAGCACAGGCTAAAGAATCGACCTACCAATAGTGACGCACGTGTCTATACGCTATTACTTAACAGAGACTACTGCTGGCTCCTGCATCCTTACTTAGAGCCTCGAGGTAATAGTCACAGCACTAACACCACTATCAGACAGTTAGTCGCAATATGAGGAAAGTGGTGAGGCGTCATGTGTTCATTACACATATAAAGCACATATCTCTTATCATGTAATCAGTTAACGATTCAAATTTAATCTATTTTTATATAATCTTCTGCGACACATGTAATGAGTGGCTCTTCCAATCTAATCTTGTGAATGATAAGAACTACCCGTTATCATCGCCAAAACTTCAAGATCCGGCTGTGAAATGTGTCGTTCTTAAACTACACCAAGATGCATGCCAGTCATGATTCAGGCACGCACCTCGCTCCCTAGGCAGCTCTCTTGTGTGCCACAGATATTATTGCCTCTTGTGATTCGACGCTAGTGCTTATATTATACATTGTTGAAACCATCCTATGATCCACCCTCAGTAATAAAATAGGGTACGAGAAATGATCGTCGCGACTGGATCTCTATTCTATTCTTGAATATATTCTCTATAAATCTCACTCCATGTTTCTAACATCTTTGGTGATGCGTGTGTAGCGATGCGTGAAACCCCTTTGTCATGCAAGAACTGAGAACAAACGTGTCCTTGCGCCTCATATTTACATATATTGAATTCATCCGCGATTAAACCCTCATTGAGAGATACAGAAAGACACACTTAGTATAGTGAGTGAGGAGCCGAAACGATATCGATACAGTCTTGGAGCGTGTCGAATCATTTCTCGCACAGACTATCAGTTCATCGCTCGAGAGTTTAGCGCATTCTCTTGTAATAAACAAGGCTGTGATGACATTAATGATAACGGAAAATTGGATGCCGAGTCTAAATATGAATTATTATGAATGTGCATTAACCGAGTATCATATAATGATAAAAAGAGACATGTGGATACGTATTTAGTAACGAGCCACACTAGGTCAGTGGTACTATATTACGAAATCATTGAAAATTATAATTTGATAATGAATGCTGCCGAATTGACTAATTTTTCTATGATAATTAATAATCACATAAGAGTGATTATAGATAGATAATGGATAATTGATGACAATATCAATATTTCGACATAGATGGAAAATGATAACTAATTATGATAATCATAGTGAATAAATCTATTATCCATAATAAACAACACTGATAATGATTGCATTCTTATATTATGTCTAATCTTAGCAATGACAATAAAAGACACTGATGATGATGAAAATGATAGTAATGATAATGTAAATAAGAATCACACTGACAATAATTATAAGAATGAAAACACCAATAATAACAACGATAATGTTAATGCTAAATGATATTGATAATATAATAATTCAATAATAATGAGAACGTAAAAATAACAAAAACGATAATAATGATTCTAGTTATAATAAAGACTTTGATTGTTATATCATCCTCATATGATATTACCATTATCATTATCATTATCTTTATTCTTATTGTTATTGCTAACATTACCGTTATCATCATAACCATCATCATTGTATTGTTTACCACTTACTAATTATCATGATATTGACATAATAATGATATCAATATTCAATTATAACAGTACAAGAAAATACTACTACTGATAATAACATGATAATAATGCTAATGATAACATCAACGGCGGTATTAATAATATGATGCATCACATGAAAAAGAATGTGATTAACAATCATGATAATGATGATAATAATAGAATGATCGTAAAAATGTTGATAACTTCAGTATCAATAATAAATAAAATAGTAATAACATAGTAGTAATGGCAATAACAATACTAATATAATGTTACTACAAAGCTATAAATGAAAAATGATCATAGTATAATGATAATGATATAGATTAATAGAAAAATAAAAAAATGACAATAAGAAAAAAAATATATAACGAGGGAGGATTCAAAGGATAAAAATAAAATCAATAAAGAATAACGACACACCACTAATGATGATGACGATTATCATGATATTAACAATAGTGATAAAATAGTAATGTGATGATGATAAAACAATAGATATAAAATATATTCTGAATAATGATGACAAATAAATGTTAAGTCAATTTTTCTGAATTTAGGATATAATACTGTAGCTAAAATCAGATATTCCCTGAATCGCTTTCATTTTTGTTCACCTTTCCATTGCTTGTACATTTTCTTTGGCACCAGTCAGAAGTGGAGATATGACTTTTTCAGGATTTGAATCTGAGAAGACTATAGGAGTGTGGCAATATATGATATAAAATAACTTCTCATATTACTTTATTTGTCTATTTTTGTAAGGGGATGTGAAAACAGCCTCACCCAGGAGCCAAGGCGCTGTACGATACAAAAGATTTAGACTGTAGAAAGGAAGGAAAGCCACGCCCCCTTGCCCATTTTCTGAGGTGGTCAAGATGTTCCCAAGGTATTTAAGACGGCGTCATACCCATGGCCACCAGACAGCTCCTTGACGGTGGCCAACATGAACTCTCTGGTGAGTTTAGGAACCCCAGTTTTCGCTGAGGTTGAACGGAGTCTCTTCTCGTTTTGGTGATTTCAGTCAGGTTTAAAGATGAAATTTTCTCGGTTTCTAATTCAGTGTATTTTCATGTAATGAAAATGATGCATTTCAGACTGTGATTTCGGTGGCGGCTCTCGTGGCTAGCGGCAGCGCCTCCTTGCTTGCGTACAACGGCGTATATGGAGGCCATCACGGCCTTCTTGGCGCCTATCCTTACGCAGGGTATTCTGGTGTGGTGCCCTACGCATACGCAGGTGGCCTTCCCGCAGCTGCTCCTCTCTCCCTCAAAACCTGTAATCAAGACCTTGGCTCCTACACCTATCTCTTACAACGTAGCTCCTGCACCTGTCTCCTACAACGTAGCTCCTTCACCTGTGTCCTATAACTTGGCTCCTGCACCTGCTTCCTACAACGTAGCTCCTGTCGCACCTGTAGCACCTGTCCAGTCTCAGTATCACGCTCAGGATGAGATCGGTCAGTACTCCTTCGGTTACGCCGGCGGTCCTTCTTCACGCGCTGAGTCTCGCGATGCCTTCGGTGTTGTCCGTGGTTCGTACAACTACGTGGACTCTGAGGGCAAGGTTCAGACTCAGCACTACGTGGCTGACGCCCTTGGCTTCCGTGCGTCCGGCACCAACCTTCCCATGGCTCCCGACGCCCCTCTGGCCGCCCTCCCCGGCCCCGTCCCCGAACCCGTCCAGGACACTGCTGAGGTAGTCGCCGCCAAGCTCGCCCATTTCCAGGCCTACAACGAAGCCGCCGCCGCCGCCGCTGCCGCCCCAGACACCCGCTAAAGAGTGTTTTAGAAACTGCATCATATCTGTGCGTAGAGCTCTCGCCAGCAGATAACAGCATCAAGACTCTAGTCAGTTACGATCGAGAGTTGACGGACGTGTATGAGATACCTCTGAATAAAAGTTTCTGTAAGAAAGATTTTGCCTCAATTACTTTCTATTACATTTCTATACCCAATAATTTCATACCCTTTTTTATGCCCATTATTATTATCATTATTATTTTTTATCAACCTATTTTAATGCAAGTAAAATCGGGTGTTGTTTGCTCTTCATTTTACACATCAATATATTAACACAATCTTTTCTATACCGTTCCTTAAACTATGAAGTCATTGTACACGAATTTATTATTGCTTTATTTGGGATTTTTAGAACACGGAGGACGAGATATGGTCCCTGTATGAAATATATTTCACTCATTTTGATTATGGTAATGAGTAATGGTGATTGTAATACTGTAAGTCATGTTTAATAATCATATTGATATCAATAATACGCTACTGATGGGGATGATTACTATACCTCTAATAATGAAAATGGTAATAGAAATGGTAATGGCAATAGCAATGTTAATAAACATGATAATTGATGATATAGATAAGTATAACAATCATAATTTCGTTGAAATAGCTATACACTCGCTTGGTTTCAAATGGCAAGCGTGTCTGATTTTCCCCACGCTCACTTCGTGGGAAGAGCAGCCGCGTACTCTGTCAAGTAAATGAGAATAATTTTTGTATAGCAAGATGGCCGTCCTTCGATTTCTATCCAAATTATTTAGTGAAGGAGAGAAGTTTGGCAATGCTGATTACGGGTATATAATCTGTAAACGACCTTCTCTTCATTTACTCTTTTCGGTTACAGTTCCAAGAAATCTTAATGAAAAAAGCATCATTACCCAAGTTCAGCAGTGTCAAACTCGAGTCTTTCCTGTGCCATGTCAGTTCAATTCAATCTACCTTTAACAGAAACAACGGAGGTGATTTATGATTTTTAATTTCATTAGTCACAATGAATATTTTTGGAACAGGGTGTCTATTTATTATTACTTCTAAATTACCCCTTGTGTGCAAGGAATGGCCGGGGTTACCATCAACTGGCGGCGCGGGATTAGAACGCAGGTCAAGATTGCTGGACGAGAAAATACCACTGCACTACACAGAGTAGTAGTACATGAAGGGAGATTTTTGTTACTTTAAAAGACATGATTTGGTCTATGTTTTAAGATTTGATTAATAATGCAATTTGAGTCGCCTCCAATCCACATTCATTGAAAATCGCTTTTAGAATGAGCTTATTTTCTCATATTATTTACACTCAGATGAAGGTATACTTAGACAAGCAAGTTCATCATACTTTTCTGTTCACCCTTCATTACCTGCATCTTATATGAGTAAAAAAAGTATATGCACTTATCCAGGACATGTGCCATACTCTATTGATATTAGTCATAGAATAGAAATAAATAAAAATAAGAAAGAAAAGGTAGAAACAGACTGCCTCACAGATAAAATAATTA